AAGGCTGAGTCAACCCTGAGCTGGTGAGATTTGAACCGCTGAACTGCTGATCTAGCAGTCAGCCTGCAGTGCTGCATTTAACCACTGCGCCACCTCGGCTCTTATGACTTTCCACTTAACCATGGATTTTCTGATCTCAGGTGTGGTCATAAGTCAAAGGTTATCTATATATGAGAATTTCTTTGCTTTCAGGGGAAAAAAAACAGTGGCTATGCAGTGGTTATGCAGCAGGCTAATTCTGCTGGCCGCCAGCAGTTCGATCCTGACCAGCTCAATATTGACTCAGCCTTCCATTTTTCCAAGGTCAGTAAAATGAGGACCCAGATTGTTGGGGGCAATATGCTAAATCTATAAACTCCTTAGAGATGGAAGTAAGGCACTATGAAGCGGTATATACTCTAAATCTAAGTGCTGTTGCTATTGCTACAAAAGTTTGAATACATGACTGTGTTTACCACAATTAACGTATGAATAACTTGCTGCAGTGAGATTATCCCTTTTTTAGGAAGAGAAATGAACTTGTACATAATTGCAGGTGACTTCACAACGACAGTTGTGGAACTACCTATTGTGTGCCTGGTTTCTAGGTAAAGAAGCTGCAGAAAACAATTTTTAATAAAAATTTTAATTTAATTAATTTGATTTTTTTAATTTTAATTTATTTATTTTTAATTTTTTAAATTTTAATAAAATTTGTATGCCGCCCACTCCCATTGGGACTGGGCGGCTGACAGGCAAGATAAAAAAGCATTTAAAAATTTAAGATAAGAGATACAATTATTAAAATTACACACCATCCATTCTGTCTAAGTGAGGCTGGATATTAATCAACAGCCCAATTCTTCTATGTTAGAGCTGAAAAGCATAATACATTTAAACTCTTCACTCAATTCGCAATGGTCAAGAACATTCAAGTTTAAGTAACTTGTGCTGCAAAGTGACAACTTTATTATGAATTTTGTTTAGTACCAGTCTTTGGACAGATACCCATTCTTTATTTTAATAATCTAGTAAGTTTCCGACTATTTGTAAGGAATGAATCTGAATATATACAGTAGATAGATGAATGTTGTTGATGTAATGCATGAAATGAAATGCATCTTTACAATCTACAGTTTCACAATACACAGATTAATTACGAAACACATGTGGTCTATTGCATTTCCAGTTGGCTCAGCATAATGCTTATTGAGACACATATTCCCATCTGTCTTGATAAGAAGAGGGACTTGATTCTTGCTGTTGAATTTTTTTTTTAATTGCCACAAAGAACTAGCTGTGCACAGCAGTATTTTGAGTACAATTTCTTTGGGATTGGACCCTCTATATCACTCTTATTCAGGAATTGTTTCTAAGCAGCAAATATCCTGCTTGCATTTCAAATTTCCACTTCAGCCTGAACAGTTCTTCTGATAATATGGCCATTGGCTCTCATTACTTTAAGCAAGCAAACCAGCCATCAGAACAGATTATCTCATTGTGCCTTATAAAAAAAAAGTAGTATGTTCTTAAAGGAGGTGAATGTCAACTCACATCTTAATGTTGGAATAAAAACACTGTAGTGTCTTTCAATTTTCAAGGCACTTAAATTCCATTTGCACATTGCACTTTGCCATGCTGAAACCGCTTCTTGTTTCACTCATTGTTAGCACCTCATCAGGATATTACTGGATTTCTTGAAACTATGCTGAATGGTTAGTGCTACGTTAAGCATTGGATTTAGAGAGCTTTTAAATCTGATGAAGCCTTAGCAGTGGGACTTAGCAGCTCTAGGGGTGAAGTAGGATTATCTATGAAGTTATTAAACGGAAGCCCCATCAGAAATTTGATGCTGGAAACTGTTGCAGAAATTAAAAAAAAAAAAGAAAAGAAAACTCGAGACAAAGCAAATGAGTTTAGGAAAGTAAAACTTAACTTTTCTTTTTCTTATGTGGAAAATAGCAGATGGAAGGAAATGTGTTGAATTATAGGTTTCCCACCTTCTTCCGAGCCGAGGTGGCGCAGTGGTTAGGGTGCAGTACTGCAGGCCACTTCAGCTGACTGTTATCTGCAGTTCGGCTGTTCA